AATTGTCGGGAGATTACTAGATATAGTGTAGTCTTGTATGTATAAGACCGGCCACGAAGCGACAGGGGGGGTAATGAGTAATTGAATGTATGCGGACAAAATATTGTTGGCCACATGAGACGTGAATTATAGTGTTTGTTATAGAGCGACTGTTGAAATTAAGTGTATCGTAAAGTTGTATTCGGAAAGAATAAACCAGTTTTATTTAAGAAAGGACTTGTGTCGCTCAAGTTTTGTCGGAACGAATTTATGGAAAATTAATTAACGAACGGAGATGTAACAATATGGAATACTTCGTGAAGGATGAATTATATCATGTTGATACACATAACGAACAAAAAAAATGAAATCCTTAGAGGACGCCACCAATTATCAATACAGAATGAAGAACATGAGGATTAAGCTTAGCTTTCCAATGTCCTCCCTCTTCAGTAGCACCCTCTCAGTTGATAGCTTACTGACTTAGATGAGACATATTACTGCTTTCTCACAATATAGTAGACTTAGCAGAGCTGCTGATAATTTTTAACCTTTGTTAACATGTCTTTCTTTTAAGTTGGCAATTAGTTTCTCAAGGATGTGGTAATTTACCTATTGAGAAGCTGTTTTGCTCTTGAGTACATGTCACTGCTTAAATGAAGTGCATAGATCATGGTTTATTTGTATTTGTTAGTTAATTAAAATTTCCATAAAAAATATCTATACTTGCATAGTGTTCAATGGTCTGTGTCTTCAGAAGATATTCACCATGTTATGGCTAAAAGTTTCAGTTGATAACAAGTACGTTCTGTTTTGAGAATAAGTATTTGTTTATTTTCAGTCAAGGATACATCAGGAGCTAATATTACTTCACTATATGTTATGGCTAAATGTTTCAGTTGATAACAACAAGTACTTTCTCTTTTGAGAACAAGTATTTGTTTATTTTCAGTCAAGGATACATCATGAGCTAATATTACTTCTGTAGTTTTTAGTCTACCAAAAGAAATAGTATAATCTCTTTGGTAAATATCAGAACTTCCAATGCAGTCAGCTGGAAGTAATTGATTTCATTTTTACTACAAGATCAAAGATGTTTTCAATTCTGTCTCAGGGGAGAAATTATTTGTAGAATGCAACATAGAAGCTCATCTGGATTGAATGTTGCTTCTGAATTGAGGTTAGTCATGAAAGCCTAGTGGTTAGCATGCCAGACTGTGAATCTGTGGTTCCTTCGTTTGGGTCTTATTGCTTCAAGAATCTGCTCACACTTTGAGGCCATGGGTGCATTATAAAATTGATGCTCAAGTTTCACTACTTGATAAGAGTAGCTCAAGGTTTGGCAGTGAGTGCTATTGAGTGCTGACTAGCCACTTTCCCTCTAGTCTGTCAGTTGAAAATTAGGGATCAACTAGTGTAGACAACTCTTATTTAGATTTGCACGGACATACAAAACAAATCAAACCCTCTTAATTGCAGACAAGTTTTGCCAGTTATTTGACACTTTAATTTCTCTTCTTCATAGCGGTGTTTTATATAAACTGAAGTTGTTGTTATTGATATCTATATATATATATATATATATATATACACTGGCATCACTGGAAAAGTTTTTGTGACTAAAGACAAATGAAAAAATACAAAAATAGTTCAACATTCTTCATTTACTGTTAATTCTTCTTGACTTGGAATAATAACAGTAATAATTCTTCACTTTTAGAAGGATTGACCAAACTGTAAAAGGTTGTAAAGGCAAAAGTGATGCTCAACATAGCAGTGAAAAATCTGAAAACTGGAGACAGTTCTGCTACTATCTGATGTTTCAGTGAGAACTGATGTTGTTGAGCAAAAGATTTAAAGAATAAATGATGAGAAAGTTGAAAATGGAATTATTTTTCCATAGCTGTTCCTGTGTAGAGAAGATGCAGATTCTGACTCTCTTCTCCTATGGAATTCAAAGAACCATCAAGGAGTTTTGTGTCTCAAAGTAAGAAACTTCTTCAGAAAAAACATCTAGAGGACAAGAAAAGATGAGTGCAGAAGAAACAGAGGCTGTTCTATAGTTTTATAAAGTGATGAATGCAGTTGGAAGACAACCAGGAAAAAAATAATTCAATAATGTAAGGAATGCTAAAATAAAGGAAGAAGAAAAATAATAAGAAGAAGAGACTCGTGCTTCTCAACTTGAAGGAATGACACACTAAATACAAGAAATAATAAATCCAGCCCCCTCCCTGTGTAAGATTTTCAACATTATGTGATTGAGGTTTCTCTGGTACATTCTTTCAGGCCTCAAAAGTATGAGTTTCTGCAAATCACCAGAACCTACAGTTAATATCTTTTCTCCCTTTCCACCTCTGACTTTTACTCAAATAATTACCCCTTTCGAGACTGGTTATGGGTGAAAGGCCATTTCATCTTGTTTGTTGACTCGCATTCAAAATTTTATTGAACTACTATTTCATGAATTTATGTCAATAAGTTTGGTATCAAACTGTAGATTATAATTCAAATTTTAGTACTATATGTTACCTAATTTCTTAATTTAAAAGCAAATATTAAAAAAACACAGATAACCATCGATTTTTGCATGTCAAGTGGTATGTTGAATGCAGCACTGGTTCAAATTAGATGTTTGTGAAGTCAAAATACTAAGTCTATAGTTTCGAACGAATCAGAAACTTAAATTACAAATAATGACAAGCTAGAATATAAAATAAGAGTCTCTTATTATAAGATATTGCTCATTTAATAAATCAAATACAGTGGCACACTGCCCACCTCTTTCCATTTATGGAAATGCTCCCTTATATACACTTATTTCTATATACGACATAAATTACCAATCGGAAGCTCAAAATGTACCTTTAGTGGTTTTCTCAGCCATTTTAATGGACTTGGTGCCATTTCTTTCTTTTGAACCAATATTTCAATGAAGTAGGCTGTGTCTTTAATCTGCTCGAAATTTCATATTTTTAGAGTAAAATACATCTTAGTTATTAAGCTTGATAAATTACAATGGAATTCTATGGTATTAATCTAGTAATTTATGATTTTTGAGTTATTCAAATGTATATATAAAACCTAAAAAAATATTTTTTTTCATATGCTCCACATGCAAAATTTTTAAAGGTTTAGCAACCTACTTAAAGCAGCAACCGAGTACAAAGGTCATAATCAGAAGAGATAATTGTTTGCTTTACTTCTTTATTTACTGTTCTAAGTTTCATGAAAAATATGTATAAGATCTTATTTCAAAATAGCAATAATCTATATACATATATAATGTATAATAACTGAAATGTGACTGTATTTTACAAAATACTAGTCTACTTAAGCACAGCCAAGACAAGTTTCTTTGCACAGACCAAAGGTAAGTTTTATGTTATTTGATACAATAACATGAGTGCACGTGAACCGTGTCATTGAAACTTCTGTATTGTTAGCCAGGCATGGCTGAAAGGTCAATATAATAAATATATAATGTTATGAGATTTAAGCTATTTAGTCCAAACATTTATGTTTTCGTGTTATAATTTGTGTTCATTCAAGAATGAAAGAGGCATAATTTATATTTATTTCCTAATTTTTATGGTGGTTGCAAGATCAGTCAAATCTACCGAACCCATACAGAGATTAATTACTAAAATTAACAGATAAAATATAGAGTATTTTCTTAAGAAATGTTTGGTAACTACCTCGACATTATAAAGATTTGCAAGTGAAATTTCAAAATTTTCTGATGCATAAAAGTATTTTTAATCTTAAAACGAATATTACTTTGCATGATAGATAGGCAACATGCGAAAAGAAAAAAATAGACACGAGAAAAACGCTGCTTTATAAACCTTAGGACATAATAAAAAAATTTTATATTTTGCATTTAAAAGCAT